CTGACCTTAAGGTTCGCAGCCCGATTCGTAACCACTACGCTACCAGAGCTACCATTATGAATCCCAAAATTCAACCCTCCCCCATAGGGCTGGGCCTAACTAAGAACATATTGGGGTTTCTGTTTCCTTTTCTGATCATTCTTACAAGTTACATTCTTATTTTAAAATCCCTAAAGAAGGCTTATGAAAATCACAAGAACAAGCCAAGAAATGATGATATTTTTAAGATTATCATGGCAATTGTGCTTTTCTTCTTCTTTTCTTGGGTTCCCCACCAGATATTTACTTTTCTGGATGTACTGATTCAGCTGGGCATCATACGTGACTGCCAAATTGCAGATATTGTTGACACTGCCATGTCTATTACCATTTGCATTGCCTACTTTAACAATTGACTAAATCCTTTTTTTATGGCTTTCTGGGAGAAAAAAATATATTCTCCATCTTCTGAAATACATTCCTCCAAAGGCCAAATCTCATTCAAGCCTATCCACAAAAATGAACACTCATATAATATAAGCTCATCCACTAAGAAGTCTGCCCCGTGTTTTGAGATTAAGTGAGATGCCTGTCTGTGAAGTCACCTTGTGAAACAAACCAACAGAAAATCATTCCTCCAGCATACTTCACTAGTGAATGAGCATTAGGTCATTTCAGAATTTAAGGAGAAAATGGATTGTGTGAATTGAACTGGTTTTTCTAAACCTCAGAACAAAAGCTTTTCCTTCCTTTTTGCAGTAAATATGAAGCCACATTTTGCATCATTCTGCATTGGTAACTGAATCCTGATGGCGCAGTGGTTAATGCACTCAGTTGTTAACCAAAAATAGGTGGTTCGAACCTATCTGCTACTCCATAGGAAAAAGATGTGGCAGTCTGTCTCCAGAGAGATTTACAGTCATGAAAATCCTATCAGGGCAGTTCTACTCTGTCATTTTACTGGCAGATATGTAGTCTGCTCTTGTTCTATTTTTTTTATTTTTTTTTTATGTCCATGTGGTCTTTTATTATTTCTTCCAATCAGCATACAGATTGAATAAAAAAAAAAAGTATGGTGAAAGAATATAGCCCTAGTGCACACCTTTCCTAATCTTAAACATTGTGTTCCCTTGCTGTTTGAAAAACTGCCTCTTGATCTATGTACAGGTTCCTTATGAGCACAATTATATGTTCCAGAATACTCGTTCTTCACAATGTTGTTCATAGCTTGTCATGATCCACACAACTAAGAGCCTATAGTTTATTCTCTGCTTTCAACCAAGATCTATTTGCCATCAGCAAGTATATCACTTGTTCCACATCTTTGTCTGAATCCAGCTTGAGCTTCTGACAGTTCCCTGTTAATGTACTGCTGCAGCCATTCTTAAATTATCTTCAGCAAAACTTTCCTTGCATATCATATTAATGATACTGTACAATGATTTCCCCATTCTGTTGTGTCATCTCTCTTTGGAATGGGCACAAATATGGATCTCCTCCAATCTGTTGGCCAGGCAGCTATTTTCAATTTTTTGGTACAGATGAGTGAGTATCCACAGAGTCACATAAGTTTGTTGAAAGATTTCAATTTGTATTCCGTCTATTCCCAGAGACTTGTTCTTAGCCAATGCCTTCAATGCTAATGCCTTTCCTTAGATTTCTTCCTTCAGTATCATTGGCTCTTGATCATATGTTACCTCTTGAAATGGTTGAACATCAACTATTTCTTTTTGGTACAATGACTGGTGATTTCTTCCATCTTCTTTTGATGCTTTCTACATCATTCAATATTTTGTCATGCTGTTGTTGTTGTTAGGTGCCATGGAGTCAGTTTTTAAATACTCTTCATATGCTGTTAATCCTTCAAAAATAAAATATTGGCTTTTGGATGCAGACAGACTAAATGACCTATAATGAATAAACATGGGCTTTATGTGTGTTTTTTTCCTAAAGGTAATCCTACTAAATGTTCTCACATAACTTTTACAGTAACCTTAGCACATGTAATCAATTCCTCTTTTAAGCTAGACAAATCCTCTAATTTTATCTACAGGAGAGAGGTAAAGGGAAAGGAGTTCTGTGTAAACACACACACACACAGACAGAATGACAGATTTGGAAATAATTGACGCACTAACCAATGCCCACAAAGATGGAGCTCATAATATTAACTGACTACTTTCACGCAAAGTAATCAGTATGAAGAAAAGCTTGACATCCTTGTTGAACTCTCTATAAACTACCTACCTTATTATCCAGTTTTCTTGCTTCCATTTCAAACAAGACCACTCTGTTATCCTTTATTTCTTCAGCTGAAATCTATAAGTAGGTAAAGTAATAAAAGAAAAATGTTTCAGAAATTCTGATACACTTATGAGGTGATGTATTCTACTGTCTGATAATATATAAATCAAAACCAAAACCTACTGCCATCGAGTAGATCCTGAGTTATACTGTAAATCTTTACAGAAGCAGATAGCTTCATCTTTATCCTACAGAATGACTGCTGGGTTTGAACTGATCTTGTAGTTAGCAGTCCACTGCTTATCTATAATACCACCTGGGTTCTTTAACAAATAAATAGATTCCAAACTTTTAGTAAGAAAATGATGCCATTAAGAAAGGTTTGGAAAAAAGAAAAGAAAAGAAAGGTTCACCCTGATGCTGTTGTCCTGAGATCATCTTTAACCCTTAAATGAAAAGTACCACCTGAAGTCTTAAAGTTAGCATAGCTAGTAAAAAGGTCTGCCTTGAGCATTATGCTCTCTTATGAACTATCTATATCCAATGCTGTACTCAATTAGCAAATCTGCTGCAAAAGACCTCTTTAAAGTGTTCAAGAGCAAATATGTCTTGAGTTTGAGTGCGCCTGACCCAAGCCATGGTATTTCCAATAATCTCATGTGCACGTGAAAGTTGGACAATGAGTAAGAAAGGCATAGAAAATTGATGCATTTGAATTATGATATTGGCAAAGAATATTCAAAGTACCATGTTCTACCAGAAGAACACAGAAATCTTTATTAGAAGAAGTACAGCCAGAATGCTCCTTAAAACAAGGATGGCAAGACATCATCTCTTTTTCTTCAGACATGTTGTCAGGGGGTGACCAATCCATGGAGAAGGACATCATGCTTGGTAAAGTGAAGGGTCAATGAGAAAGATAAAGACCCACAATGAGATGACTGACACAGTAGCAGCAACAAGGGGTTAAACGTCACCACAATAGACTGAGCAGTGTCTTATTCCATATGCAAAGGGTCCCTGAGTCAGAACCGACACAACAGCCCCTAACAACAACAATATGGAATCAAACTGACAACAGGAACTCAAAAATAGATAAGAAGCCTAGGGGTCATTAAGTTTATATTACCAAGAGAGGAAGAACTCAAGAAAGGAGACTGAAATGGCTGCACAATGACTGCAATCAATGCTACTAAATTGGGCATTCAGAATTGGTGCATAGTCTGCTGTGCATTATTTTCAACAACAAATAAAACTTTAAGGGAAAAAAGTCTTACCTTTATCTCTATCATATGTGTGAATTATTTTCTCAAAATATGACAAATCTGCATTATGCAAATTCCTTTGTTAATATTATTGCCCACACTGGATCTTCTCCAGTCTCAGAGAAAACTCAAAGCTAGGAGACTGGAGGATAAATTTTATACAGGACTGCCCTTAACACTAGCTGCTGCTATTGTTGTTAAGTGCTCTACAAACAGTGATAAGCATAAGTAAATTTTAACTAGAGAATTCTCAAAAACTGAAATAGATCAATTTTTTTCATCCCAAGGAAGTGAAATACTTGCTCTACTTAAAAATAAATTCCAGGCAATCATACCCAAGAGCAATAAAGCTAACTACTGGTATGTTCTCTATCTCAGGAATGTTAATAACCCTAACATTCTCATGACTTAGGAACTCTAAAACAGAGCAATACAAGTGCTCAAAAAATTCTGTATAATCACCATATCTCTCCAATATGGCTGCTGCTCAGGTAGACACAGACTTCCTTCCACCTTCAGACACACCACCACTCCATGCAGGGGTTACATGGGCAGAATCTCAAGATATGACAAACTTAATAGATGGGCATGAAATAATTTGATATCTAAAATGATAAATGCATATATTCATTTGCCTCAGGCCAATAAATCAGTGATGGAAAAATGTGGGTGGGGAATGAACCACAGAGTGCAAGTACAAAAAAAGTGGTTTAGGTGTTTAGAATATACAATTATTGATGTCTCTGCTTTGGAGCAAAAGAGAATGAAGAAAATCAAAGGCTCAAAGAATAAACTAGTCTACAGAACTAAAAGTCCACGTGAGTCAAAGTAACTTGTAACCTGAGACCAGAACTAGATGGTGTCAAGCTACCACTATCAACTGTTATGACTAAGGAGATAAAAGAAGATCCCAGATAGAATGTGAACAAAACTCAAATTCCTAAAAATGTCCAAGTCTAATGGACCAATAGAGACTAGAGAGACCCTCAAGACTATTGCCCTTACATACTCTTTGAGGTTAGAACTAAAGCTATTACTGCAGGTCACTTTGTAGTCAAATAATAGACTGACTTATAAAACAAACAATACCACCATGAATAATATGTTCACTTAAACCATTAACTATATGAACAAAACAGTCTGCATTTACCCAAAAAGTAAAGATGAGAAGGCAAGGAGAAGGAAAGCTGGATCAATGGAAACAGATGAGAATGGGAAAAAATGAGAATGTTTACATATTATGAAAATTATAATCAAAATGACATGGTACAATTTTATAAAATTTGTTTAAAAAAACACCTAATTTTCAGTGCAAAGTTTCACCTAAAACCCAATAAAATACTATTCAAAAAAAAAGAAAAAGGAGTTGAGAGGATTCCATGGCCGTGTTATGTCTGAAATGTTATTACTGAACATATCTATCACACCAAGAGGCTGATACTTGCTTTGCAGAAAGCCAAACTGATCTATTCATATTATTAAGGAATTTCTTAGGAATTTATCCTTCCATGGCGAAGACGCAAGCATCACCAAGATGCACTTGACCTCTATAAAACCAAAACAAACTAAACCTACTATATTGAGTCAATTCCAACCCATAGTAACCCTCTTTAGGGTTTCTGAGACTGTACAGCGTTGTGGAAGCAAACAGAGTCATCTTTCTCTCATGGTGCAGCTGGCGGGTTTATATCCCTATCCCACAGGGCCACCAAGGCTCTTTGGACTTCTACTGTTGATATCAAGTGCCATCACGTTGGTTCCAATTTACAGTGAGCCTGTATATGTTTTCTGAGTAGTAACTGATGGGTTTGAACCAACAACTTTGCAGTTAGTCTAGTAGTCACCCTAAAATGTCCATTCAAGACTCCAACTTTAAAACTAAAAGAAGGAATTTTTATACTTTATTTTTCTCTTTCTGTCTTTTTTGATGGAATATAATTCGCATTTATGACCATAATAAAGCAACGGTGGAATGGAAGTGCTGCATATGAGTCAAATGTAAATGCACAGCTCTAACATGTTCACCTGTTGAGAACAGTTTTAGTATGTTCTCTTCTTGCCCGATCTTTCAAGGGAAACTTAAAAAGATAAACAAAAGCATCTTATTTTACCGTAATGGTCCCTTTTCCTGCAGGTCTCCCATTTTTAAGTGCCAAAGGTCGAGTTAGTTTCTTACTCGAAACAATCTGTTAAATTGGAAACAGAAATTTCACTTCATGAATTTTTAAACTGCATGGTTTCAAAGTAAAAAAATGATAAACTTCACATAAAATCCTAATAAATAGAAAACATTAAGTTCATTCCTTAAGTATTTACAGATTATTAAAATAAAAAAAAAAATCTTTAAACATTTAAAATGTAACTAAATACATAAAGCCAACTGCAAGAGATTTTCAAAGAGCTTTCCCTGGCAGATACCATCTCCCAACCAGCTAGTTTCTTTACTAACTACTTCAAAGTTTAACTTCTTTCATGTAATGAAAAAAGAGGGCCAGATTCTCATCAGAAATGCAAATCACTGAAGTGAAACTAAATAAATGGGACAACTTTTTCAAATGACACACAACTTCAGTATTCAATCCCTACAAAGTATCATTCTGACTAAAATAATATTGCAAACGTAGGTACTTCCGAACAGGTGTCTCAAATTCATTGAAATTGGGTTGCCAGTGGCATGAAGAGCTTAGAAGTCTGCACTTACAACCTCAAAAGAAAAAAAAAACTAAAAATCATTAAAATTTGGTCATTTAACTTCACTGTTCTCCCCACCTCCTCCCAAAAAAAACCACTTAATTTTGTCTTTGACACTATTTAAAGCATTCGAAAACCAGTCAATTTCCATATTAAGAACAGTCATGGTCACTAAACAATCAACCCTGAAAAATAAGCTCATAAAAGACAAACATGTTACTCAATTAAAAAAAAAAAACAAAAAAAACTGAACTCTTCCCTCCGAAAGTCTTCCTCAATCTACACAAATGGTTAAGTTCTCACCTTACAAGTCAAACTTTGAACTAGGATCAAAATGATGAGCCAAAATTACAGACCTACCTTGACCAAGTTGGTCACATTCTGGGAAATAAGATAATTAAGCAACTTCAAGAACATATGGTGAGTGTTGTGGGAAGAAGCAAGAGTGTGTCAGGTAAACACTGGGGAGGTACCCCAAACTATTCTACTAGGGAGTCAGAGAAAGCTCACCATGCGGGGGTTAAGGTTTAAAGCGATATAATTATAACTAAAAAGAAGCAAGAAGGGTAAAGGTGTGGTGGGTGGCATCAGGAGTAAAGAGGCACCAGTCATGCTCCTCAGTCAGAATTATACAGAAGTTACAGTTACACTGATAACATTCATGACTTCAATATATGAACAAAATTATACCAAACTGTAAACAGCACATAGAGTTGCTAGAGCAACGGTATTATTTACTGAAATGTCTTACGAAACATCATTTGTACAGAAGAAATAACAACAGTCTTTGCCAGAAGCACATAGCCCCAATCTTTTTGAAAAATAAGATAAATTACAGTACAATTTTGAGTCAGCCATGTCTATTATATATGAACTTGGTCTTTAAAAGGATTTTATGTTTTTCAATTTTGAAGTTAAACTAATGAACACTTATTAAAAGCATTTAATCTTTTGGCTAAAATTTAGACAAACTAAAGTACAGCAGCTACTTATACTCACTTGTCCCAGGGTACATTCAAATTCTCCTAAGAAGTCATCATCACTCAGCTCAATAGTTTTGTTGTCGATGTCATAAATCCCAAATTTCAACTTCTGAACCACTTCAAAGTAATAATCAATAATAAATGTCTTAGAAAATCTGGGACTCAAGCAATTCTTAATCCTTTCTGTGCGTTCAACCTATACACACATAGAAAAACAAACAGATTCTTCAGATCAAGGTGCATTTGGAATCTAATCTATGCACTCTATACACAAAAGTATGACAGGAAGTTTCTACATATGTATGAAGAATTCCACAATCTAGAACAACCTTACCCTGGAAAATACATTAACAGATAAGAGGATTTCATTAACATTCTTAATAAACTCTTTATCATTTTGAACAGTAATTCAGATTATTTTCAAGTAGAATATTTGATATTACCTCATACCACTCTTGGCCACTCGTATTCAAAAACAGTACACACAAAGGATCTGATTTGGACCCTACATCTGTATCCAGAAGATTGTCACAGGAAATATTTAGCTCTACCTTTGTGACACACTGGGCAGCCATCTCTTGAGCTGTGAAAAAAACCAATGAAATAAAAAAACCAATTAAATGGGGTCTTTAGAAACACACTCATTCTGAAAAAAAAAAAAAAGCTAGATGTGGTGCTATGAGATAAGTACTGGACTGTTAACCACAAGGTCAACAGTTCAAACCCACCAGCCACTCCTCAGAAACCTTATACAGGATTGCTGAGTTGGAACTGACTCAACAGCACTTAACAGTAACAACAAAACAGATTCATATAACCCATGAATCTTAGGAATAGGAACAGAGTGAATTTGCTAGAATGAGACTGTTGGTTATATGTGCTTTGTGGTTCTACGCTCTTTGGTGTCCTCGTGGTGTACTGTGTTATAAGTTAGGCTGCTAACCAAAAGGTCAATGGTTTTAAGCTACAAACTGCTCTGCAAGTAAACAATGAGGCTTTTTGCTCCGACAAAGATGCAGAGCTTCGGCACCCTTATGAAGCAGTTCTACTCTGCTATGTTAGGGTTGTTAGGAATTAGAATCGCCTCGTTGACAGTGGGTTTGTGTCTACTTTTGGGGGGTCCATTAGCCCATCCCAATGATCTTGTTTCAGTCAGACTGTCCTGCTGGGACAAAATGCATTTACTATATGATACAAAAATGCAGCTTTGAAGATGGTAAATAAAGAAATACTAATTTTTTCACCTCACTGGAAATTTTACCTCTCAGAAAAAGTCTAATAATAATCTCGATCCTTCACTTAAAGGTTGACAAAACCTTCTGTTACAAAATAAAACAGATTTAACTGCATTTGTATTTTTTGTTTATTTAATAAGATATTGAGTGAGACAACTGTAAAAATAGAAGTTTTGTATCAAAAAAGGGGGGAGTAACTAATCTTACAGTCCAGGAACAGAGGACCCTAGGACCATCAAGGGAAAAGAACATTAGTGGAATGTGGGACCCTATCCAGAGAAGCAGCAACTCCAGAGATGGAGGCAGAGATGAGGACATCGAGAGAGAGAGCAGCTGAGAACTCTAGACTCATGGAAAGATAAAAGCTGTATGCTGGCGGCCAAGAGGCAGGCTTGCAGAATATGCCCTTTGGTTGTTTAAATTATTATATATATTCCTGAGTGTTTTGGGGTACATCAAAAACACACACACACACAAAACAGTGGGAATTGAAGCAAATACTGTTGAATGGTGATACTTGGAGGAGATTGTAATCATTGCAATGATACAAAATACAATAGGATGAGTGCACAACTGATGTTCTCCCATGTAAACTATCACTAAATGCACAACAAAATCTTTTTAAAAAGAAGCAGTGACAGAACAAAATTCAAAATTATTTTTTAAAAAAGAGAGAAAGCGTGAGAAAGACCTGGCTTATTGTTCAGAAAGAGACTGGAGGGACGTACAACCCCAGGTCTGGAAAGGAACTCATCCTCATGGTCCAACTTTCAGCCAAGCAGTGCACAGATATGTAGAAGGAAGAACAACATGAGTAAAGTGTGCTTACTTTGAATGATGGAATGGTCAATTATTCAAAATCAAAAAGGCACCATGTACCTGGGGACAAAGTTGAGAAGGAATGGGAAGTGGAGTGGAATGGAAATAGGGACCACAGGGAGGTAGCTGGATAGCTGCTGTTGCAGGAAGGGAATTGTAATCATTGAAATGAAACAAAGTGTACTATTTGTTGACAATAAAACTGATCATGCCTATAAACTTTCATTCAACTCACAATAAAAAGTACAAAAAGAGAAACAACAACAAAAAAGATACTGAGTGAGATATTTACTCTTTAAAAAGAATTGTGGCTACGATCCAATTAGGAGGAGTAAAAGGTCTCAACTACTCCTTGGTTGCTTCTTAAAATTACTTCGGGAGTTTTAAAAGCTATTGATGACTGAGCTACTTCCACACAAACAGATTTAACAGGTTTAAAGGTGCAAACTGATTCTGGGCTTCTTAGATTACATGTTGATAAAGCTGACAAATTAGTTTTACAAAGTATCCAACAAACAGGCTAGTGTTCTCTTCCCTAGTGACTTACTAGGAGGTAGTTACCCACCACAAACAGACCCCACCCCTCTGCAAATGCCAACTGATCTATGAAGAGGATTGGATAATGTAGAGAGGGTTTGATGGGGGCTGACCTTGGGGTGGGAGGGGGGAGTACAGCATCAAAGATAAACTGTTTTACCTAAACCCAGGGACAGACAGTAAAGGACTCCAAGTGATACCAGGAAACAGAAAAAGAAAGCACGTTCTCCAGTAGAAGATTCACGGAGCCATTTGTTTAGAGTGAAGTGGGCTTGATGATGGTTGTGGGAAAATAACTCCTCCCTCAAAGCTGCTGGCAAATATTCTTCTTGTTGTTGTCAAGTGCTGTCAAATCAGTTCTGACTCAGACCTTGTATAGGTTTCCAAGGAGCTGCTGGTGGGTTTGAACCACCGACCTTGAGGTCAGCAGTACAGTCCTTATCCTACAACACCACACCTTAGAATGGGGATTATTTAACATTTTCTGACCTCCAATTTGAGATTTAACCAGAATTCTGGGTCAAGAAGAATAAATCCACTCATCATACTGTTATATTTAAATATGACAGGATGATTTCTGAGCTGTACAATACACCTAATCAAGTCAGAAATAATAAGGGTTACTATTGTTGTGGAAAAAACATAAGGCTTTCTGTTCCCGTAAAGATTTACAGCCTCGGAAACCCTATGCAGAGTCGCTATGAGTCAGAACTGACTTCAAAGCACACCACCACCACTGTTGTCGTTAAGTGTCGTGTAATTGGGTCTAACTTATAGCAACCCTGTATATGGTTTTCTAGGAGCAGCTAGTGAGATTGAACCACTGACCTAGCAGTTCAAACCAACCTTGCAGCCCTACATGTTAATCCACAGCGCCACAAATTGTAGTTGCTAAGTGTGGTCAAGTTGGTTCCAACTCACAGCAACCCTGTATGGGGTTTCTAAAGAGTGGCTAGTGGATCTGAGACACCAACCTTGCGGTTCTCAGTCCAGTGCTTACCCTACAGCATCACACCAGGACTCCAAGAGCCCTTTATTGATGCCCCAAACCACCTCATGTCCTACAAAATCTCTTTAATTACTCTGTTAGACTCTGAAAACAGCAGAAATCCTCAAGTATGTCAAAAATCAATACTAGTGTTTAAATTGCCTCAATTACAAGAGACTGAGAATAATGAGGTAGATATGTAGTCCTAGTTGTAGCTAGAAATTCCCTTTAAAGGCAAAGTTATGTGTTCCTTAATAAACACAAAATTCACAAATCCCTAATTTGCTTCCTAAGTCCCCTAATCAGGGATATTGTAGTAAACCTAAAACTACTCTGTTCCTTTACTACCAATGTTAAGAAGTCAAACTGGTTTTTTCCTGGACACTTTACAAGCATTAATTTGGCTATGTTCTAGAATACAGATACTGACAAGTGCATAAGATATTAACAGCAAGGAGAAATCTATGAAGCAGTCAGGGGAGAGGTAGGAGTACAAGTGAGCTGGATACTGCCTGAACTTTGAAGTACTCAAATGGAGCAGCTCAAGAGGGTACCTTATGTAGGTCACAGAAGCTAGACATTCATGAGGGGAAAGCAAGGAGAAGGGCAAGTTTCAAGTGTCAGGTGGAGGAGCTCAGTGGTGGGCCACCTCAGTGGGTGGGTAATAAGATGCTACTTCAAGTTTTCAAGCTGTTGGTGACATGACATGATTTCTTTTTAAATGTCGTAAGTCTATAGTGTCTAGATCTCTTTATCAAGCTAACAACAGAACTTAGCACCCAAATTAGCATGTTCTCTTCCTACCCAATTCAGAAGAATAGATGTTTCTTTTCCGTAGTACAAGTCAATAGTAGAGAACATGCACTCTGTCTGTCAGTGTTAATGTTAATATAGTCATCATTCTTTTTCACCATGATTCATGAAAAAAGAAAAGGTGCTAAGTTGGGTTTTT